TATTTATTCAGAAAAGGATCTTTTTTATTATGTGAATCATTTTTTAAAGCAAAATCATAAATTTAATCAATGCCCTGATTGCAATAGAATTAGTGTAAATAGAAAAAATGAATCAGAATATATTAGGGTAAAATGGCAATGTTTTAAGAATATTAAGAAATGATTATGTAATCATTACTATTTAATAAAAATTATATAATGGTTGGATTTTTTTTTATATGACAAAAAAAAGCAAAATGAACAAAAATAATTACCGCTTTAATCATATCATGGTTACTGTTTACTATTGTATTCCTTGTATGAATATATTTTTTTGTAAAAAAACTGTTTCACAGCACGATAAAAGAGCTCGTGAAGAAGAGTATGAGGGAGCCAATTATCAAGTTCCTTATGTTCTAAATGTCAAAAGAATCATTGGCGATGTAAAGATAATAAATGTTCGAAGTGTTGTAAGATTCGTGAATGTAATAGTATTGTTTGTTCTTTCTGTCAAGAACTTGGTATTGAATGTAAGCACGTTTACCTCGTACCGAGCAAGAATTTGACGTGTTAAAAGCAAAAGGGCTTACTTATTCTAATGGACAATATGAGCCGACTTCAACTGGTCAATTTCATGAGCAGTGTTATTTTTAGTTTAAAGATTGAAAGACAATGAAGCAGATTAAAATTATGTTTGGTCATTATGGTATGAGTTTTCCTTCACGTTTATATGGTGATTCAGAACAAAATCGAGACTATAGTATAAAACTTTGGAATCGTTGTAAGAATCCTTTACACGCAAAAGATTGCCGTTGTAATTATTTTGATAGATTCAAAACATGTAATGCCTGCACTGCCGAGTGTGCTAAACAGCGTACACTGGCTCATTGGCGTGACGTAGATGATCTCGAATTGCCACAAAACATAGTTGGACCTTGGGAATTTGGAATTTACCATAATCTTTCTGCCTCTAAAGAGGTGTTAGAATTTGATAGATTTAAGAGATGGTATCTTGAAGATTCTGATTGTGTAGAGCGAATTGTTGAAGAAGGTATTTCCACTCGAGAGATATTAGATGATATTAAAGAAAAGCTTCCTCAGTTTTGGTTGCGTTCTTTGCAAGATCTTTTTTTTCTCGAGGAACAGAGAGAAAAACTTTTGAATGAAATGCTTAAGAAATTTTGGTAATTTTATTTTTTTTTTTAAATTCTTGATATATATCATATTACTAATATAATAATAATTAAAATATAGGTGTCTTGTTACATTTTACATTTATGGAGCAGGTGGTGCGGGTAAATCAGGGATAGTATCTGAACTTTTATCAAGTGAATTATATGTCAAACCAAAAAAACAAAAATCAGGTTCTAACTAGTGGAATGGATATAACAAACATGAGATAGTTCTTTTTGATGAGTGGTATACATGTATTGATTGGAATGATATTGTTAAATATCTTAATGATACTCCAGAGGATGTCGAGCAAAAACACAAAGGATTTATTCCGTTTCTAGCTAAATATGTATTTATGACATCTCATAAGCCTCCAGAGGAAGCTTTTAATTTTCGCCGTAACTATGTTAATGACGAATCATTTACTCAACGCGATTGGGATCAGTTTTATCGTCGTCTTGATTTTGTAATTGAGTTCACGGGGAAGTGGAATGATGATATAAACCAGCGCACCACCAAGCTCATATTTTACAAGGGTTCAGAGGAAGATTTTCGCAATATGAATTGAGATGTTAAATATCATAAAGGTGAATTTACTGTTGATGAGCTAAAAACTATAGTTCAAGGTTTAAATCAAGAGCAAGATGGTGAGGTGATCATAAAACAGAATCAAGTTTACTGGTGTCGCCACTTTCCTGAATTCAAGAAAAATTATCTATGTGATTATCTTAGATGCCGCGAGCTTTCTGATTATAAACAGGAGCTTTTACAACAATCACAATTAGTTTTATCTTCAACTACACCAGAAAAAAGATCTCAAGAACATATATCTGAATCTGAATCCAAAACATATTTTGATGATGATTCCGATTACAGTCGTCAACAGTCGATGGCCGAATCTAGCACTAATGCAGCAAAAAGAAAACCTAACAAGCGATTGAAACGTTGAATCGAAAAATTTATAAATGATTCAGATCACGATAATGTAAATATATCAAATTCTCGTATGATGCTTGACGATAATTATTTTGTTCAAAACCTGTAGAGGTTATAGAAATGACCAATGAGTATGCTAGTAGTCAAGGTCGATCATTTTTAACACAGCGAGAAATTATAGAAAAGCAAAATGAAGAAAGCTGTCGTCTTAATGAGAAGAATACGAATATTTAGTTTTATAGTTTAATTAATTATTTATGATAAGGGCTGTGACATATATTACGTAATATCATTTTATCAAGGGGGCTACCCCTCTCCCCCCACGTCATATATGATCATA